AGATCAGTGTGATCTTGGCTGTCTGAGGTGAAATGAGAAACTATGGGAGAAATCTTTAATCTTCACAGCCCTAACATGTTCTCTGAAGCTCTCCTACTCTCCTTCCAGTTTCCCCATCGTACAGTAGATAGCTGGGCATTTTGTGCAAGAGATACAGTAAACTAAACAAGGTTGCTAGAGATACAGGATGTCGTCTGGGTGATCCGGCACTGACCTGAGAGGCCCTGAATGAGCGTGTGGTTAAGATATGTATCTGCAGGTGATCCAGGGGAAGGTGTCTGGTAGGGATGATTGCTGAGTGCAGTTGAGCGAGCTGTGAACAAGAAGTTTACGTAGATTGGGTGTTCAGCGACAAAAGAGATTGGTCGGTTGGAAAAAAGGGTATTGATGGAGGGATCACCCTGTAAAATGGAGTAGTTGTTAATGATGGTCCTGGGGATAGAAAGTGTGTTAGGGTGGTAGGGAAGCACCAAGGGAATGCGGTTGTAAGACCAGGAGTTCCTGATTGAGTTGATGATCCAAGGGCTGTTTGTGCCCAGGTGAGAGCCCTATATCGGTAACCTGGGTGGGGTATCCTCTGTTGATAAAGTAGAGCTGACATAGATACTGTAGATACTTTAATGATCCCGTGAGGGAAATTGCAGTGCAACAGCAGCTTAACACAGTCAACACAGCACAGTGTAACGAAAGATACAATAATAATACAACACATACAATACAATCAGTACAGTCAGTGAGAAGTGCACTAAGAAGAGTTACTCACAGTCCAGAACATACAAAGAACAAACCAGATGATTGAGGAACTGTGAAAAGGGGAGAGAGTTTTTGGTGTGAGTGGGGTGAAAAGAGCTATACAGAAGATAGATGGATAAGAGTAAGTGAATTGATGCAGGAAGTGCTCTAGCTGGTCATTAGAGCATGTTCAGTAGCAGCACCGACGCAGTCATCGATGCGTCACTTGTAGAGGTCAGGGACAAAGCCAGTATAGGAAGCAAAGAAGCATTCTTCTACCCAGCCGACCAAAATATTGTTATAGCTAGGTCCCATCCTGGTGCACATGGGGACTCCACTAACCTGCTGATAAAAAAGGTTATTAAATGAGAATGCATTGAGTGTGAGAACCAATTCTGCAAGATGCACTAGAGTTTGGGTGGATGGATCAAGCACTCTGCGTTTGTCTAGCATGCGCTTAAGGGCTTTAAGACCGTCATTGTGGGGAATGACGGTGTAGAGAGACGTGATATCCATGGTAAAAGTGTAGCATTCTGGACCCTGAAACCAGGGAGGTTATGGTTATGGAGGGTATGGTTAGTATCCTTGATATATGAAGGAAGCATTTCAACCAAAGGTCTCATAAGGCTGTCGAGAAAAGCAGAGATGAGTGTGGTTGGACAATTGCATGCTCAGACAATGGGTCGTCCAGGGGTGTCGGGTTTGTGGACTCTGGGAAGGAGGTAGAATTGGGATACCTGGGGATGTTTGGTGATGAGATGGTTCGCCTCTTGTGGCAGCTCCTGGTTGCTGATAAGAAGAGAGATAGTGGATACCACTTCCTTCTGGTAGTCAGTGGTAGGATCCTGTTGGAGAGGACAGTAGGCAGAAGTATCGGTTAATTGGAGGCTTCCTTAATGTACAGCTCTTTTTGCCACACCACAACAGTAAGGCATGTGCAATTTCTGGTTTAACATTTAAAGGTTTTTTTTTTAAACTTTGAATATACTACTATTTGGATAGTAAATAGTAAAAAATAAGACTTAGAAACTGATGGACAGTAAAACCTTGGTATTTCTCGAGAGATAGGTAGATTGTGGGTTTCCCGAATGGTGAATTTGCAGTTATGGAATTTAAAACCTTATGGAGAAAATAAGGTATGATTCCATGGCTCACCAAGTAAAAATTTGGTCTTTTTACAATCATGTACCTACTTCACAACAGGAAATATATACCATATCGCTCTAATATTAGTATTATCACAATAAATTAATTTTCTAGAAATAAGGTGGAAATTAGAACAGCATTGGTCTTCCAGCATGGACTTGGTCATTCATAGCTTCTGGGAACCTTCAGAGAAAACCTTCCTCACAAGGATTAAAGCAGTAATTCATCTTGTGAAGGTATCTTGTGATACCAGGCTAGTGTTTTAGATGAGCTCCATATTCAATAGCAGAGAAACTAAACCTAAGTGAAATCACAGTTATTGCTTCCTTATATGCAACAGAGCAGTTGAGTGATTATAGAAAATGCCTCTTACTATAGCTAGTTTTTTTATATTACCTGGTGGTTTTCAGATCTTCATTGTCACTATGCAAATTAATATTAAGTTTGATGAACATGTTTAGGGTTATTGCTGTGCAAGATTTGCATTATTCAAGTACATTACCTGATTATAAAGTCCGGTCTTTCCTTCTCAGATTCCCCAAAGTGCCTTTTTAAAGTGTATATCATTTTAGAAGCTGGCTGTTATCCAGTAATTCATGGAGTTTACAGTATATGGAGAGTCTACTCTATAATGTATTATTTACTTATTGTATAGGAAAAGTTGTAGTTTGATTAAACTGAATTCTGACAAGTTCCACCTATACAGTACATCGCAGATTATTGTTGTTTTGTTTTCCACTGGATGCATTTGATGATGTCACATATTATAAAGGAGGTGACAATGGTCTTGCTGAAGATACTGTACGTCGACTTGAGACTAAACAAAGGAACTTCGGAAAGAGTTTTCAGATGCTCAAAGAGGAAAAAAAGAGGATATATTATTTTCCTCGAAACAATGTATTACTAAAGGAGAACGATGACATTTCCCCTTCCACAACAAAACTGGAGAACCTATTGTAAACTGTTTTGCAGTAGTATAAAAGAAAGAAAAACAATATTTGTTCTGAAGCTCACATCTTTCTTTCTATAGGAATGACAGATTTTTTTAATGCTAAACTCAAAAGAAATGCTACCTCTTTGTCTTTGCTACGTTACCTTTTAATTTTCACATATTTTATTCATGTAGAGTTACATGGATTGGTGTTGACACCCTGTATTTAAAGCAAGGTTGTCCATTAATTTATGTATTTTGTCAACAGGATTGTCAGGGACATCCAATTAGTTTATGAATGCTCATTTGGCCTTTACAAATAGTTAAGATGTAGAACAAATTCTAGACGGAGGGCACCTGTATACTGTATGTCAAAAACTGTATATTGTCGGCCAGGGGAATCCAGTCATGGTCTTGGAGGGCCAATGGCTGCATGAATCTTTCCACATCTTAATAACCTGCATTGACATTATAGGCTTAACACATCCAACTTAACTTGTGTCAGCTCTTCAGACACTGATGATTGAAAGAATCCTACAAAACCTGCAGCCACATCAAACCTTCAGGATCAGAATTGGAAACCGGCAGGCTTTAAACACCTAATGTACAGTACTGTATTTTTAGGGGTAGTTCATTTTGACTTAACCACACTGCGCTGATGCTAACCTTTAGTTTGTGTGCGCATCCTAATCCCAAAGATGGATAAATAAAGCATGCAACAAACCATAGCTTGCCTTTTTGTCGTCTTTCACAGAACTATACAGTGTATTTTGGATAAATCAGCAATAATAACAAGAATAATGAAAGACAAAATGAATTTATTCAGTGCCTCAGGGAAATTGCACAGCACATATAGGTTACGAAACAAGTCCACAGGTTATAATTGGTTCTGACTTGGTATATTATCAGTAGCACTACAACAGTCAGTCTTAGTCAAGGAAAGAAAAAAATAAAAGGGAATAACACAAAATGTCTTCAAAAATACACAGTTTTTTTATTCTTCACAGCAGTGGCTAAAATGAACATAGCACCGAGTTAAAACTGCTTAAAAATGCTGTTGAAAAACAAAAATTAAAAAGCATGTTTGAAGATCTGTAACAGTAGCTAGATCTCCCTTCCATCAAATGCTGGACAAGCTCAGAATGTGCTTCTAGAATTCAGTTACCAAAGATTGAATATGTTAATAATTGATGCAGGTGCAAATGAATGATTAAAAAATTTGAATTTCAGTTGTGGTCCAGGGTCTACTAGGATGCACTATATACTCTTGCTGTAAAAGTACATACACTATACTAACATATGAAATCTTAAACATGAGATATTAACACTTAGATCTTAACATATCTACTCTCTAATACATAATTACACCATTTTTGTCAAAATATTTTTTGTACAAAAATCCTTTTGGGTAATACAGACATTTTAAGTACAGCCATAATACAAATTCTCCTTAGTCTCTGCTCAAATCTTCTAATGCACATTCACTATTAAACATTTCCATGACCTAATACATTTGTTTTCGTTTTTCAAGCTCTGGTAAAAAAACACACATCAATGACAGAATGTTCAAAAGATATTCTAAAAGGTGTCTTAAAATTAGGCATTGCCTTATTATAGAAAAACAATTTCCAATTTCTCTGTTTTTCAATATTTCAGTTTCGAAATAAATATTTTCCTCTTTCTAAAAATACTCTGAAGGGATTTCAAACCCTTGATGTCCCATAGTCACTGCATGGAAAAAACAAGGAAAATGGTGTTATACAAAAAATATATATAGCTACAGATGGTTAAATATTCCAAATAAAAACGTTTTGTTTAAAAAAGGAACAACAACAGCAACAACATAATAAACATTCCATATACAAAACTGAAACTGTTACACATGAACATTGCCAAAGTTAGCTTTTTCTTCCCTCCCTTGGTTTATTCTCCTCAGAAGTTCAGTATGTGCCAATGCCCGAAGAAGATCGAACACTTTTTTTTTATTAGACCCATCTCTTTGGCATTACAGAGGGGAGGAGAAGACAACTGCTCAGTGAGGCAAGTGTGACAGACCCACTGGGTGGGAGCCTGTGCTTTGCCAGCTGTATAAAGCTTGGCAAGGGAAGCAGTGATTTTATTTTTTGGACTGTGTGATGTAGCTGTTCTCAATGCACAGGACTATGAAGGAGTTGGAGCAGCTCTGGGGTCTCTGCTGAAGGAGCTGCCCAGACTCCAACGAGGAGGCGAAGCCAGTCACCGCACGATCCTCTGTCCTCCACGTCTCACAGTAATTGTCCGTTAGCCGATGGCCCTTGCTGTTTGAGCCATGCCAGACCATCTTTTGGGGCCTTGAAGTGACACAGAAAAAGGAGGTCAGTGCTGTTGGGCTCTGGGTTTTAACAGAATGTCCATAAGCATTTACACTGAAAGCATGACACATGGGGAATTTAGTGCCACAAGGCCCAAATGATAATTTGTGAGCTATGAAGTGTTCTGTCATCCAAGTTGCACACATGCTTGTTTAACAGACAGTAAAGTAGAAATCAACCTTCCTAAACAGCCAGAAATGGTTAAAGAAAACAGGTTCTTTAATGTTGACATACCACTTTAAAAGTGTACTTATTACCAAATTACAGAGTGTCTGAAATAGCTAGGAACATCTTACTCCCAAACAGGACTCTGTAATCCCATGCTATTCCCACTACAATGTTATTAATTAACTCAGTAGTTAGGTCAGTTTCTCATAAGTATGAAATAGAGACAATCAGAGGTTTGTGTGGCATCATTTTCCTAGGGAATACAGCCTAACAGGAAGGCTCACTTTCGCAAGGCTGAAGATGGGGTGGCAGGAGGGGTGTGAAAAGCACAGAGGAAGTACAGGAGATATACAGTATATACTGTACACATAGGAGAGCAGAAGGGGGCAAGATTAGGATCTCACCCCCCAAATTACTGTTTATCATCTTCAATTAAACAGTATAATAAAAAAGTATGAAATATGAAAAATGCTACAAAATCAGGAGTATCACTTTTGTTATCAGGCTAATCCAACTGCTCTGTAAAATTTCCAAATAAAAATTCAAAAATGAAAAAGGGAATTGCCATCTAAAAATAGCCATAAGCATACTCAAATGACAACAAGTTGGTTTGATACAGTATAACTCACCAATGACTGTCTCTGAGAATATCTCTGCCATCGAAGGAGTAGATTGGTGCATTGGGTTTCATCTGCCCATCTGACCCACTGAACAAGGACTCCCAGCTATCAAACATCACTTGATCCTGGAGAGGAGAAAGACCACACTAGCTATAAGCATTAAGATAGAAAAGGTTAGCAAGAGCATTATGGAGCCAAAAGATTTCTAAACTTATTACTAGAATTAATAGATTAATGTTTGTCAGTATGATTTCTAGTTTACTACATACAGTATCTTAGAATATTCAACATTTTTAAATTCCAGCACCATGGTCTATTAAAGTAGCAAAACAATTTTCATCTGCTTTTGGAAGGGCTCTTATTTTAATATGACAGTGCTCTCTACTGATTCTACTTACAATTGATTCTGGCTTGCAAAAGTATTCAGAACCTTGCAAAGTTGTCATATTTCAAAGCTTTCAGTCATGACATGCTGAAGGAACAATTATTGGGTTATATACAGTACACGACTTGCACACTTTCAAATAAAAAATAGACTAAAAGTAATGATTATATAAGTATTAAAATCATTTCAGGGGTTTTAGGAGCACAGAATTATCTTAATGAGCCACACAATTAGTTGTGTGCCACAACAGTTGTTCTATTTTCTTTTTTATTTCACACTAAATATATCTGTCTATATGATACTCCTTGGTTAAACTGTGAATTCCAAGCAAAGATTCAACCATGAGGACTTAAGAACTTTCAAAGCAAGTCAAGGATAAAGTCAGATTGAGCAACAGATGTCAATGGCTGAGATGTAAGAAACTATGCATCAGTCAACAATATCCATAACCATTTACAAAACAGGTCTGTTTGGGATGGTGTGAAGAAGGAAGCCATAACAAAAAATATTTTAATTATTTCAAAAGGTGCTGTAGTCAGATGAGACCGAACTGTACCCTTTTGGTCTAAATGCCAAGCTTTACTTTTGGCACAGCCCTGACAAGCACAATTCCCAGTTCAGACCCTTCCCACAATCCTCAAGTTTGTTACGATTGAAGGGAAAAGGGATGGAGAAAATACAGGCAAATACTGGAGAAAAATAACTCAGCCTGCTTAAGTCTTAAAACTGGGACAAAACTCCATCTTGCAGCAGCACAATGATCCAGTGCTACACTGGTGTGACTTAAGAAGAAGATTGTGAATGTTCTTGAGTTGCCCAGTCACATTCCTGACTTGAATTGAGACTCTGTGAGCAGACTTGAAAACAGCTGCAAATAAGTGATTACCAAGCAACATGAGAGAGCTTAAGTAAATCTGTCAATAAGAATGGACAAAAAATGCACCTAGCTGGTATGCAATGTTAGTACTCACCCAAAATGACCTGGGATTGTTATTAGTACCAAAGGTACTTCCACAAGATATTGAGGTCACAGGTCTGAATACTTGATGCAATCATAAGAGTTCATTTTTTTCTTTAGTTTTTTATATTTACTGTAACTTATCATAAATTTAGAAGTCCTTATGTTTGTCGATTCAGGTTTTGATTAAAATATTTCTCTAAATGTGACACTATACAAAGGATCTGAATACGATTGCTATGCACTGTGTGTATATATATATACTGTAGCTACAATGTCAGACAGAACATTGAAAAATCTTTATATAAACCTGTTCTAGTACAGCCTGCAGAATGTGCTCCTCCAATAATACAGAAGGAAGTAATCTATAGGGATTTTTTCTCTCCAGAGATGGGGC